TCCTGGGTCTACAGCCTCAGTCCTGGGTCTACAGCCTCAGTCCTGGGTCTACAGCCTCAGTCCTGGGTCTACAGCCTCAGTCCTGGGTCTACAGCCTCAGTCCTGGGTCTACAGCATGGATGTATTATATTAACTGGATAGGGTATTACTAGCTTGTAGCTGAATAACTCATGTGCTCAGGGGATTCTCGCGGTACTGCAGACTGAACCAGACTGAACCAGACTAAATTCACGTGGGCTACCCAGAAATTTTCCCCATAGAACTCAATGCATATTAAAACAGCTCAACCTCAGCTGACAGAGAACCTACAGCCCTAATAAAGGTCAGATTTTGTGGGGATTTTAGTGTCCCTTGTCACAGAGGGTCTCACGCACGATCTTGAAATTTAGTTTGGCTTCTATTTTGAAAGGGTTTTGCCCCAAACTTTGGAGACTTTACTTCACTAATTTGGATTATATCCATCCATCCATCCATTTTCTTCCCTTTAATCCATTTCTGGGTCAGGGGGGTGGCAGTCAGAGATGCACCAGCCCCTCACTGACCCTCTGCAGGTGGTGAGTCCACAGGAGGACGGCTGCTCTCTGACTGTGAGCATAGCCTTGATCTTTCAGTGGGGGCTTTGGGCAAAGTGGGGTTAAGTGTCTTGCCCAAGGACACAACGACAGAAGTCATCAGTGGGAGTTGATGGAGAAGGTGGAGAGGTGGGAATTGAACCCACGACCTTCTGGCCTTAAGACCAATGCTCTACCAACTGAGCTACTGTCGCCCCCATTATAATTTGGATTATAATTATTATTAAATAAGTTATACTTCAGCCTAATCCCTTCGGTCATGTACATTACTGACATAAGATACAGTGCTTTTGTAACTTTGTCCTTTTTTTTGAATGATTTTTTATGTCAAAATAAATAAATAATAATTTGTATGCCCGAATAAACAAACCTTCTACTAAAGTGTAGAAAAGTCAGCGCCAAATATCCATAAGGACCCAGATCGGACTTTTCCCAGGTTTGATTTGTCCCGGGTTTGATTTGTCCCAGGTTTGATTTGTCCCAGGTTTGATTTGTCCCAGGTTTGATTTAGCATGTTTTCTCCAAGTCTATCTTGGTTTAACCTGGACTCATAACTTCCCTCTCACTCTAACATCATCCTGAACGTGGGAAGAAAGTAGGCCTACAGAGTGATGATAGATTGGTAATAAAGCAGGCCTACAGCGTGGTGATACAGTAGGCCTACAGCGTGATGATAAAGTAGGCCTACAGCGTGATGATAAAGTAGGCCTACAGCGTGGTGATAAAGTACGCCTACAGCGTGGTGATAAAGTAGGTCTACAGCGTGGTAATAAAGTAGGCCTACAGCGTGGTGATAAAGTACACCTACAGCGTGATGATAAAGTAGGCCTACAGCGTGGTGATAAAGTAGGCCTACAGCGTGATGACAAATTGGTAATAAAGTAGGCCTACAGCGTGGTAATACAGTAGGCCTACAGCGTGGTGATAAAGTAGGCCTACAGCGTGGTAATAAAGTAGGCCTACAGCGTGATGATAAAGTAGGCCTACAGCGTGGTAATACAGTAGGTCTACAGCGTGGTAATAAAGTAGGCCTACAGCGTGATGATAAAGTAGGCCTACAGCGTGGTGATACAGTAGACCTACAGCGTGGAGATACAGTAGGCCTACAGCGTGGTGATACAGTAGGCCTACAGAGTGATGATAGATTGGTAATAAAGTAGGCCTACAGCGTGGTGATAAAGTAGGCATACAGCGTGATGATACAGTAGGCCTACAGCGTGGTGATACAGTAGGTCTACAGCGTGATGATACAGCAGGCCTATAGCGTGGTGATAAAGTAGGCCTACAGCGTGGTGATAAAGTAGGCCTACAGCGTGGTGACACAGTAGGCCTGCATCGTGGTGATAAAGTAGGCCTACAGCGTGATGACAGCGTGGTAATAAAGCAGACCTACAGCGTGATGATCAAGTAGGCCTACAGCGTGGTAATAAAGCAGGTCTACAGCGTGGTAATAAAGCAGGCCTACAGCGTGATGATCAAGTAGGCCTACAGAGTGATGATAGATTGGTAATAAAGCAGGCCTACAGCGTGGTCATAAAGTAGGCCTACAGCGTGATGATAAAGCAGGCCTATAGCGTGGTGATAAAGTAGGCCTACAGCGTGGTGATAAAGTAGGCCTACAGCGTGGTGATACAGTAGGCCTACAGCGTGGTGATAAAGTAGGCCTACAGCGTGATGATAAAGTAGGCCTACAGCGTGGTGATGCAGTAGACCTACAGCGTGATGACAGCGTGGTAATAAAGCAGACCTACAGCGTGATGATCAAGTAGGCCTACAGTGTGGTGATACAGTAGACCTACAGCGTGGTAATAAAGCAGGTCTACTGCGTGGTAATAAAGCAGGCCTACAGCGTGGTGATAAAGTAGGCCTACAGCGTGGGTAATAAAGTAGGTCTACAGCGTGGTAATAAAGCAGACCTACAGCGTGATGATCAAGTAGGCCTACAGCGTGGTGATAAAGTAGGCCTACAGCGTGATGACAGCGTGGTAATAAAGTAGGCCTACAGCGTGATGATACAGTAGGCCTACAGCGTGGTGATACACTAGGCCTACAGCGTGGTGATACAGTAGGCCTACAGCGTGGTGATACACTAGGCCTACAGCGTGGTGATACAGTAGGCCTACAGCATGCTGATACAGTAGGTCTACAGCGTGGTGACTGATGCCCGTGGTCGGAGCAGCCTGCCGGGCGTCTCCTGCTCTTATAAGGCCTGCTCATCCTCGCTGTCTCTGCACTGATCAACGTTTAGCTTTTAGCCCGGTCTGCAATAATAGCAGCAATAATAGCAGCAATAATAGCAGCAATAATAGCAGCAATAATAGCAGCAATAATAGCAGCAATAATAGCAGCAATAATAGCAGCAATAATAGCAGCAGATCCCGGAGACACAGTCCGACCTAAAAGGGACATTCAGGGAGAAGAGGACGTTTCTGAATATGGACTGGTTCCTATTTAGCGGCGATGCTAAACAAAGCTAGAAGTGTAATGTTGTGGAACTCATTATCCTCGGAATCTAAAACCGTGTTCACTTCTGTTAAGTCCTGGCTGAAGATTGAAACAGATTTGTACTCATTTGTAAATGATTTAAACAGCTACGTTTTTAAGATAATAGTAAAAATGTTAATGTGGTGTAGAAAGGACCCCTGATTAAAAAGCATTTGAGAGCCCAGATTTATAAAGTAGCTTGTTGTGCTATAGCCCTATATAATAATCATATATCTGTGTACAGTGGTACTTTCATAGTACTTTGACCCTATAATAATCATATATCTGTGTACAGTGGTACTTTCATAGTACTTTGACCCTATAATAACCACATGTTAGTGTACGGGGGTTCTTACGTAGATGAGGCTGGAGAAGTATCTCTCTTTGAGGTTGTGCAGAACCGAGGCCTCGTTCAGAAACGTCAGCGCCGCCATGTCTTCCACTTTACTGAACTTTGGAGGATTCATTTTCTGCACATCCTCTTTATTCACAGAAGACTTCTGCCCATTGGACCGCTCCACCAGAACCTGCACCAGGACCACGTTAGGACCACGTTAGGACCACGTTAGGACCACGTTAGGACCACGTTAGGACCACGTTAGGACCACGTTAGGACCACGTTAGGACACCAACAGAACTTTATCTAGAGATTATATCAATGCATCCTCAGTCCTGGATCTACAGCCTCAGTCCTGGGTCTACAGCCTCAGTCCTGGATCTACAGCCTCAGTCCTGGGTCTACAGCCTCAGTCCTGGGTCTACAGCCTCAGTCCTGGATCTACAGCCTCAGTCCTGGGTCTACAGCCTCAGTCCTGGGTCTGCAGCCTCAGTCCTGGGTCTACAGCCTCAGTCCTGGGTCTACAGCCTCAGTCCTGGGTCTGCAGCCTCAGTCCTGGGTCTACAGCCTCAGTCCTGGATCTACAGCCTCAGTCCTGGGTCTACAGCCTCAGTCCTGGGTCTACAGCCTCAGTCCTGGGTCTACAGCCTCAGTCCTGGGTCTACAGCCTCAGTCCTGGATCTACAGCCTCAGTCCTGGGTCTACAGCCTCAGTCCTGGGTCTACAGCCTCAGTCCTCGGTCTACAGCCTCAGTCCTGGGTCTACAGCCTCAGTCCTGGGTCTACAGCCTCAGTCCTGGGTCTACAGCCTCAGTCCTGGATCTACAGCCTCAGTCCTGGGTCTACAGCCTCAGTCCTGGGTCTACAGCCTCAGTCCTGGATCTACAGCCTCAGTCCTGGGTCTACAGCCTCAGTCCTGGATCTACAGCCTCAGTCCTGGGTCTACAGCCTCAGTCCTGGATCTACAGCCTCAGTCCTGGGTCTACAGCCTCAGTCCTGGGTCTGCAGCCTCAGTCCTGGGTCTACAGCCTCAGTCCTGGGTCTACAGCCTCAGTCCTGGGTCTACAGCCTCAGTCCTGGGTCTACAGCCTCAGTCCTGGGTCTACAGCCTCAGTCCTGGGTCTACAGCCTCAGTCCTGGATCTACAGCCTCAGTCCTGGGTCTACAGCCTCAGTCCTGGGTCTACAGCCTCAGTCCTGGGTCTACAGCCTCAGTCCTGGGTCTACAGCCTCAGTCCTGGGTCTGCAGCCTCAGTCCTGGGTCTACAGCCTCAGTCCTGGATCTACAGCCTCAGTCCTGGGTCTACAGCCTCAGTCCTGGGTCTACAGCCTCAGTCCTGGGTCTACAGCCTCAGTCCTGGGTCTACAGCCTCAGTCCTGGGTCTACAGCCTCAGTCCTGGGTCTACAGCCTCAGTCCTGTGTCTACAGCCTCAGTCCTGGGTCTACAGCCTCAGTCCTGGGTCTACGGCCTCAGTCCTGGGTCTACAGCCTCAGTCCTGGGTCTACAGCCTCAGTCCTGGGTCTACAGCCTCAGTCCTGGGTCTACAGCCTCAGTCCTGGGTCTACAGCCTCAGTCCTGGGTCTACAGCTTGTTAGTACCTGCTCTCC